TGATTATTGTTGAGGTCGTCGTTGTCGTTGTCGTTGTTGGTATTTGGGTAAGAGTTGGAGGTGGAGGAAGTATACTCCGAGTCGTGGTGCGGTATAGATGACAATGGTTGATTGAACGTGATGGGGCGTTGATGTTGATATTGATAGTGTCCTTGACTTGTGGTTATATCGACATCATCCTGGGTATCTTGAGAAGAAGAAGAAGGTGACGGTGATAGTATCCCTGTCCTCGACTGAGAGTATCCAAATGACTTTTCCTGGGACTCACGATCCCGATCCGGACCCTGGTGCTTATCAGATAAAGATAACCCCGACGATATCCCCGGAACCGGCCACCCCAAACAAACCAGGAGACAGAGTAAGTAGAAGAGGGCCCATTTCATAGTGATGGGAGTAGTTTTGAATCCAGGTGCATGGTAATATGTTTGTTATCCTACGAGGTAAGTATTTTTTTTCAATCCAGAAGTTCAATGTATGGGACACGCGGTCTTTAAATGATTTGCGTTGTTTAATAAGATGACCTAGTGATGGTTGCGGCCGGTTAAGTAGGGTCGAGCGATCCCGTGCTGGGGCTTGCGTTCGGATTGGTTGGTTTGTTCTTCTCTATAAGGGACCGGATTTGGGGGAGTCTGTTTTCTTAATCTGGGTTTATGGGTACTTTATATTAAGTTACTTTGCTTTACTTGTTTCAGGGGTGTTTTGGTTATGTTCCGTTCTGGTTAAGGTTTTGTTTATGGTTGGGAAATAGTAGATTTGCTTCTAAGAAAGTTAATGTGAATAAGAATAAGGTAAATGACGGTCAGCTAGAGCTGAATGACCATCTCAACTCCGCTCCTGCACGCCCTGCTGCATGGCATGCAGATGCTCCCACTCCAGGGTGTCCTCTCCCAAGCTCCAGGCCATGACACCGCCCAACTTCTCGGCATCCACGATTTCCTTGAACTTGCGTGCGATGAGCGGCGCCGTGTCCCAGGACCAGAACAGGTTCACCTCCTTGTCGAAGTAGTACTGGCCTCCGGCCTCCTCGTCAGTCACACCGTCCTTCTCGGCACGGCGCCACGAGTCGATCAGCGAGATGCCCTTGCAGGTGCCGTAGTCGGACTGGCAGCCGGCCTGGCAGTGGGCGTCTGTGGTTCCGCTGTTCGCGCTGTTAGCATTCTTCCACAGTATATTTGGATATGTAGATAGGGGGAGAATCATACCAGGTGCCGTACTGGCTGCAACACGTTCCCGATGGGCACTTGCCCTTTCCAAACCCACAGCTGCCATCGGTGCTGTCCTTCAAGTCCTTGGCCGGCTCGCCCATGGTGCCCTTCTCAAAGGTCAATGCACCCGACTTGCCAGTGTCCTTACCCTTGGCGTCTTCCAACTCGGCAACCTCGCATCCCAGCGGGTGCGTATCACAGCCGGCATCCTTCTTCGTCTCGAACCACTTGGCGTAGTACGCCACACCGAGATTGATCTTCTGTGTGTCAAGACCGATTTCCTCGTACGCCTTGACGGAATCCAAGGACCCCTGGACGCTGGTGTGGTGCGTGGTCACGTTGTTACGGCGGTTCATGAGATCGTACGTCATGATGTTGACCATGTCGACGGACTCCCAGATCTTGGGGCCCTGTTCCTTCGTGAAGGCGATCATGTCGCCCCGCTTACCCGGGGTCGCGATGGAGATGAGCTTGTCCTTGCCTAATTCCTTGCGGATGGCAGCCAGGAGCAGCGGGTATGTTTCGATCTCGTCCTTCTTTTGGTCGTTGGGGGTGTCTTTGTAATCTTCGCCGTTGCCAGCGGGGTACTCCCAGTCGATGTCTGTATTCATTAGCCCTACTCAAACCTTTCCTCCTGCACAACAACTCTTCAAAAAGAAGGGAAAACGAAAAAGAAACATACCAACACCATCCAAACCAAACTGGTCCACCATCTTCTTGACATTCTTCGCATACGTCGCTCGGGACTGCTCAGTCTTCGCACCCTCTGAGAACCCCTTCGTGTCGCCCCATCCTCCAATGGCAACAAGCAGCTTCGTATCCGGGCTGAACCGCTTGCGCATAGTGTCCACCGGTTCAAAGGGCTGCCATGACTGGCCCGACTCGCCGTTAAAGAGAGTCGATGCCGCGAAGGCCATCACCGCGTGGGTGATTCCGGCAGTGCCGCTGCTGTCGGGGAGCCCTTGGGTGTGGTATCTTTTTCATTGTCAGTTTTATCGGTCGTTTCGGTGCGTGATCCAAATCTTGTAGATTTTGGTTCGGGTTGAGGTTGGGTCAAGGTGACAAGGGGACATACTGATCGATATACATCACAAAGCGAAGACTCGCCGCGGATTGGGCCGCGGCCAGGACGCCGAGGGCTAGACTCTTCCACTTCATTGTCGCTTTTTTTTTGTCCCAGTAGGGCAGGGTATCGTAGGTAAGTGAATGACAATAAGGGAAAGAAAGCACAGGAGGGTGAAAGAGAGCTGACGGGCTTTTATATCTGGGGATGTACACGGGCCACTTGAGCAGTCATGCTGTGAATGCGGAGTCACACTCAGCGTTCATCATTCACGCGGTTCCTCAGGAACAAGCCATGGGAACAAATAAACAAATCAGCGGAGAAATCTACCGTCTACGTAGTGGGGAATGCCGTGTCTGGTGCAGATCTCTTGATGAGGTCAGGCAGGTATGCAGTGGATGAGACAGCGGATCCTTTGTTGAGGGGCTGGCATTTGGCTTGGTCTGGGGCGAAGCAGGGGATCCATTGCTCGACTTTGGGGTCCAGATTTAAATTAGACCCTGTGGCATGCCTGATCACATTCCTCTTGCATTCTTGTCGCCGGCCGAGGGCACTACGATACGAATAGTTATTTGTTCATTTAAATTGCCTGGGGGCAAATAGAGCTTCAAAGCGAGGTTTCAGAAGCTCGAACCCTAGCCGGGAGCCTTTGTCTCTCGTTGTTTCGCCTCGGTCAGGCGTGAGCCGTGTATTACCAGAGTCCCATATTATAGTACAGGATTTAAGAGTAGAATAGAGCAACACTTGGATCGACTGAAAAAGGATCGGTATTAACATTGTTCGTACGGGTATCTCTCATAGTTCACGGCAGCTGGTATCCAGCCGGTTCGAATTTGAATCGCCAAACTAGTCCCAATGGCGTCGGATGATGGGTCGCGCCGGGTCCCACGGCCCTGTCACCACGTTCTTGTATTTCTGCAGACTGATGAGCCACCAACTACAGCCTCCCATCGCTAAAGCAGTCAGGATGCTGCCTAGCATGGAACCGACGACGGCCGCCGTCAGCCCGCCCCTTAATGTAATTCCAACTGCGCCACCAGCGGCGATCACCAACGCTAGTGTCAGGAACACATGGCCGGTCCAAGAAATATGGCGCAGCTGACGCCGGAAGATAGGGAACAGCCCGAACACTTCAATGGAGAACAGCATTAAACTGAACACATGCGTCGTCGACGGCAGCCGGGACGCCAGCACGGTCGAGGCCATCACCGCTGCGTTGGTCGACAGAGAGGCCGGGAACTTCGTAGCGCCTGCGCCCTCCCCACTCCCATAGTCAAACGAGAAGATGTTGGTGATCAACAGCCAACAACTCATCGCCCAGATTGAGTCGCTGGCTGTCGATTTAGTGAGCGATTTCAGGATCGGGCTAAGCCCCAGTAATGCACCGTATATTAAAAATGCCGATTTAACGGTAGAAAGCCGCTGGCGGTTGCGCGAAGATAGTCGCGAAGTCATCGGCGCGTCGAGGGGAGGCAGAGGCGGGACGCTGCCGGCAGCAACACCATTCGTACCTCCGAAGGATGCCGCATCCTGCGTGTAGGAATCGCCCAGACCCGAGTTGCTGCTCCTTCGTCCCGGTTCTGTCTCACTGTGAGACATCGTCAACCCAAGTCCATGGACTTGGTTGTCCTTCTGCTCATTTAACCGGGTGGTGGATGGGTTCATTGAACTCGTAGTTGAGCCAGAACTAGATCCATCATCCCCTTCAGATGCACGCTCCACCACGTGGCTCTCTCCATGCTCTCTGAACACCCACGAATCCCACAGTATCCAGCCCATAGCCGTCCCGACGCTCCCCCAGCATACAATCGACACGGGGCTCACTCGTCCCTGGACAATGCCAGCAAAACAGCAAACAAAGATCGCCACCGAGCAAACATGCTGAACAATGACTGTAGAATCGGCCACGAGAGGCCAGAAGTCGTATGGCCGCACGCGCGGGTTGCGCTGGAGATGATCAAGGAACGTCTCGGTATCGGTGTAATTATCAGGATCTGTCCAGCGCCGTTAACAGCCATCCTAACCGGAAGTATATCCAACCCATACATGATTGCTTCACCCAGAGAAGCTTCTTCCACGCGCCCTTTCGTCTCCGGCGTCTACTGGTTCCTCGTAATTTTCGGGCCGGGACCGCGTGCGGCGGTCGCAAAGCTGCGACCGAGGCAGCAGTGCCGGCACTCCCATTCAGCCCTCGAATAGACTCATCGTAGGTTGCCGGAGCAGTTCGTGTTCTCACCAATGCAGGCGAATAGTATGCATCTTCAGGGGCAAGCCGGGTGGGATCGGGGAGCGTTCGTTGTTGTCCAGAAGGCTTTATCCCGACCGCTCGATTAGGATGGGTCTCGACGGGGACGGGAGGAGGAACGGGCGGGGGCGAGTCGGACAGAGGAGGCATCGAGCAGTGCAGAATTCATGCTTGGCGCATGGCGACGATGAGGTGGGTGATTCTTTGAACGTGTTGAGAAATATCCCAAAGTAGGTCTTCCGATTGCGTCGCCTCCCCCACGTGGTCATTAGTCATCGCTTCCAGCAATCTACTAAGTTAACTGTATACAGCGAAGCACTGAACATGACAACAATCCGGTAATGCACGCTCAATTGTATTCATTCTTAAAGGTACATTACTCCAATTAGTTAGTCATGACTCTATCATGTTACAACCGGTCTTATTCACAACAACATTGCAACCAAACAATATCCAGGTCAGTGAGGCGAAAGTGATAAAACATGACTGACCTCAACAATCACAAGCCCATCGCGACTCAAGGACTTAGCTTGATCCACAAGCAGAGTAAACTCACCTTCACTGCCCTCAAAGACATACTGCTGTAGAGTCTGGGATTGTATTTGGCATGACAGGATCTTCACCTCCGCCTTTTTATCAAAAAGTTGGAAGAAGATCCGGGCCTTATCGAAGAACTCCTTCCCAGTCCGGCACTCGTCCAACGGAAAGCAGCGAACTGCTCCGGATTTATACGAGAACAACTTGAAAACCACCTTGGCATCCTGAAGAGCAGGTACGCCAGGCTCATTCAATCGGCGCCTTTTAGATACAGGTGTAGGCTCGGGCTCTTCGTCCTCTTCGTCCTCTTCGTCCTCTTCGTCCTCTTCGTCCTCTTCGTCCTCTTCGTCCTCCGAAGACTCTGAAGACCCTGAAGTATCGTCTTCTTCGTCTGACTCTCCCTCTGCCGATGATGACGAAGATGATGTTTCATGTGCATTGTTGGCCCTATGATCATGTGTAGCGACTGGTGGTCCTGATAGGCTCTTTCTCTGTGGCCTCCTTTGCGGTATTTGCATCTGCGACCCTCCCGGGAGACTTCTTCGTTTCTCGCTAGCTCGTGAGGTCGGGGCCTGCGTCTTGTTGTGACGCTTCTCAAGAACTTCAAATGCGGACCACACCTCAGGCTTATAAAGAATGTCGTCTAGGTTATTCGAGAACATCCGCACGGCACAGATTGTAGGATCCCACCCATCGTGAACCCCCGACCAACCGATCAGGTAGGTACCATGTCCCGTGCCGAAAGGAAAGTAAGGAGACACGATCTTCTCAGGCCCTTCAGCAGTATGAAGCACTAGGACATTATAGGCGGTGGGCTTTATGATCGCATACGCGGAGAGGTTCACATGATTTCCCTGACGATCGAAAGTTTTCCATTCCATCTGTTTCGCAGGCCTTTGAGTGTTACAGGGCGGCCGTTTCGTGCCTTTCTCTTTGTGCCATTTTTCTAGTATATCGGTAAGATGCTGGGGTAACGGCTGATCGGACCCAAAGATCGCTTTGGGGTTCACGACGAGGGGTGTTTGCTGTTCGTTAACCGGGGATACTGTCGGCTTGCGCTCTTCTTCGGAGCTGTCCCTGTCGAGGGGAGCCACTCGCCTTGAACTAGAAGAAATGAGCTTAAAGAGGTAGAATAAGCGGAACGGAATGCTGCATACCGATTCACCATATTGATCTTGTTTAGCGCAGTCGCCGAACCAAAACGACGCGTGCGAAAGAATAACCGCCGACTGTGAATGGAAGAGTTGATAGCACGGCCAAGTATTAATTGTTGGATGATAAGTTCAACCACAACTGAACGTGTTGCAATGGTTGATAAGCAGTCTTCCGCTTCGGTCCATACATCGGCAACTTGGTACTGACAACGCGTTAATATGGGGATCCGCGTTTGTCAGTTCCAATAAGCTAAAGATAGGTAAGCTTATCCCGTGTCATACTCCATTCCGATTGGCTGGTTCTTTGACCCGCTGGGACTAGTCGGTTAGCCCCGGCCGAATATACAGGTACCTAGATACCTCCAAGTAGGTGGTAGTAGTACTAGTAGTGTCGCCCTGGGTGTATGCATAATGTGAGATCCTTCAATTCCATCCCATTGAACAAAGCCGAGCTGTCGCACAGTGTAACACCAACAGTTCCTGGATAGCAAACAGAAGTCTCTCCTGTGTAAATATGATCTACGACAGATAAGCCGAACGTTTCAATATTCGGTTGCGTCGCTGCAGTCCATCGATAATTCTTGTCAAGCATTTGTATAGCGGCAATAAACCTATCATCGGAAATTTGGCACAAAATTCCTTGTCAACCAGAGGGGATCAAATTAATAGATCAAACTAGAAATGAAGAAACAAAGAACACCGAAAAAACGGAGAAACACCTCCGGCTTTAGATGGATGATGCTCGTAGTAACCAAGACGAGTGAGAAGGTATTCAAAATATTATTGTACAAATGTAAATCGGTCATTGCAACGTCGCACTGCATAATGTCCCGAAAGATTGGCGTGGTGTATTTGCAGGATATATATTCTTTTGTCTAACATGCACGGGGAACTAAAAGTGGGTATCAGAAGCCCAAGAGATCGGAAGAAGGGCGGATAAACCAAACAACGAAGAAAGTCATGCAAGCTTCCAGTCGCTCTGGAAGGTGGTTCTTGAACTCGTCAACTAGAGCTACTCTTGAGCTCCTGGGGCACGGCGCCGCCGTCGAGACTATTCCTGCGACCCCAGTTGGCTGGCTGTCTGCGTAGGAAGGCCCCGACGGCGCCAATGTAGCCTTCGTGGCGCAGGAAGTAGGCCTGCTTTTCGCCCTTGGACCAGAAACGGATGGCATAGGATAGTGTGTTCATGGTTTGCCGGTGGCCTCGGATGAATGATCCACCGAAGTAGATGTGCTTCACTTGGTGCTTCTCAGACTGAAGATAGGCAATTTGTCCAATGTTGTTACTATATCACGTTAGCTCAACAGAACCACAGTGAGGACGGGAGTCCAGGCTTACCTAATGGCATAAAGAAGACTTCGGCTCATATCCTCAGGCTTAAATGTAACTTCACCATTGGTTTGCCCATCTTCACCGTGGGGTTTGTCTTCTCCGTCCTCTTCCTGCACTTCATTCTTCAATCGAAAGACTTTGCCGAAGGTGCTAGCAATAGCAGTGCTCTTCAGACCAATCCGGCTGTAGTCCATGCCGTAAATATCGCCAACTAGCATGTCTACCCCACTATTGTCACCGGTATCCGCCATCGCTAGCATATCGTCGAAGGTTCGAGCACCAGTCAGGAGCGACATGATGCCCCAGAAGGTACCGCCACCCAAATGGGTACCCCCCACACGCTGGTATTGCCTAGGGCCTGACACTTTGATCATGGATACACCGGAACCGATGTTGACTAATAAATACGGGTAAACGTCCGGTCGGGCCTCGGCAAATTGCATTGGGTCGGTTTCGCTGTAGGTAAAGACTTCGTTCGGTATTTCGGTGATAAAGAAATCGAGTCCTACGGTAAAATCAGTCAGCATGCCCCAAGGGAAGCACAGTGGGTGTGTATGTTCGGTACTCGCGGACGTACCAGTAATAAGGCATTCCATCTCATCCTCGCGGATGATATTCACCTTCAATGTTTCCTTCAGCTTGTCGTAATACTTGAAGGCACCGCCTCCGGTTGCCACAACACATAACTCATCGCTGGAAGGCCCGTGGGCTTTCTGGTATTCTTCTTTCAATTGCTTTATGAATTCGATGCACAGATCTATGCGATGAGTGTCGAAATTGATAAAGTTCAATCGGCCGCCATTGTCCACGGAGTCCAGCTCTCGTGTAAAATAAATCAATTTCGCAAGAGAACCGCCGATCTAGAAAGATCCAACCGCTAAAGTCAGTTGCGCTGGTCACAATCTAGTGATGCGATCGGAACTGCAATTCGATTGCGGGGGGGGTACAGATTATGCGGGGGGCGGGTAAAAAAAGGAACAAGAAAAAAGAGAAACCGGGTCACTCACGTCGACAGCAACATGGCTCACCACTCCAGTATGATGGGGTAGCCGGATATCATGGCCTTCGTAGTGCACACCATCCAATCTCACGGGGCTCTTGGATCGCGGATCTTCGTCGACAATGAAAGCACCCTTGACATTAATTTTCACAGCACCGGGGTTGGTGATAGCCTTTTCTAGCCGGGTGGCGCGCGAAGAAGGATTGTGGTTTGTGGACGACATGGTGTATCAATGATATGCAAAAATGGGAGAGAAGGGGGAGGCGGCAAGAAATAAGCAGCTTGAAGGTCACATCCAGAACCGAGGAATGAATGGGTGAACCGCGGTGGTTCAGGGTGACATCTCGGAGTAATGGGATTGCCGTGCTGTTCCCTACGGCGTATATCTCCTTCTGCCCGTTTCCGCTGAGATCGGAAGTGGAACCAAGGTTGCCTTCAGTGTACACTTTACCCGGAGTATGCACGGAGTACATGCGCTATAGCGATTGTAAAAAATGTTCAGGTGGTGATTTAGTACTATCTGAATGGGATCATCTCACGGTCCAGAGTCTTCCGGATGACGTCGTCCATTCATGATCATCATCCTGAGGCATTCATCGTTTCTCATCAGGCACGCCACCCAAATCGGTACTAGTAAGCAGGATCCATCGTCGATAGCAATACAACCTTATTTAGAAGCTGTTACCCGTTTATAAAATAAGCTTGTCTGATTTTCTCTCTCTCTCTCTT